TGAACACAAAACACAGAGTAAGTAGGATTTAACAACTGGGTACTGAAAGTCCATGACAGGCAAAGGCCAGGGTGTCCCTGACCCAGATGAAGATGTACATGCACAGCCACGTGGCCTAAAGCATTCCCATCATAGTTCTATACGTTTCATTGATTAGACTAAAAAAACTCAGGTTTGTGATCATGAGTTTTAAAATGCTTTGGACTTGAAACACTTTTATTTGAAGTGGCATACTGCTGCAACACTTCATTTCTGTGATACTTCACCCCATGTTATTTGGACACCATGCAATTTTTTTCTATTTTCTCAAAATATTTTTCAGAGATCCAGCTTGAAACCGCAAGATGATGTTCAGGTTGTTTGTTTTTTTCCTCTAGCATGTGGCAGTTATGATGAATCAGAGTTTATTCTGTGTTCTGTTGATCACCATAGTAACCTGCGCTCTCTGTATTTCACGGGAAACAAAAAGTTATTTATTTGACAGGGATGGAGTTCTGAGAAGCACTGGTTTATGAACACCAGCAAAATATTTTAATGGGACTATTTGCTTCTCAGGCTGTTACATGTAGCAGTAATTTGCTCCTCATCTGTCCTGAAGAACTCACAAGAAGAAACTGATTGTAGTCAAAAGGTGTTATTAGGATCACAGCTATTTTCTACACTCAGCAGGTGTTACAGAAAGCTGGACAGTGCCCTATTCAGCCCAGACTTTTTATGTATATGCAAAGCACAGTAAAGGTATTTCTCTAGCTATTGGGCCTCTTTTGTATTCTCAGGAACCAAAAGGATTCCTAATCTGCAAACAAAAGTTAGAAATTGATTGTTGTTATTTAATGAAATCATTGCTGTTTTGTATCAGAACAAGTCTATTCATTTCAAGCCCAAAGGGTGAGATTGCCCATCAGTTTTTAATAGTTCCTCTGGTGGTGCAAATTGATTTATTTTATTAAATTACTTACTTTCAGTGTGTAAATTGATTTTCCTGACAGGTTACTCTTAACAGGGATCAATCCATTGATCTGCCTCGTAAGTGACCCCACAAAGTGCAGACATGGCACGGGGCAATAACTGGTATCCAGTGTGGTGCAGAAGAAGCTGAAGAGCTCTTTCTTCCCAGCCCCTCTCTGTGGGACTCAGACATCGAATCTGCCTTCTTATTGAAACTTTCCTTAAGCAAATTTTAGTCTTAGGGATAAAGCTGTAGGGCAACCAGGGTGACTGCCCATGCAGGTTTTCCTTCAAGAAGAGGGTTCCTGCAATTTCAGTACTCTGTGGAAACATACCATGATATGACACCTTCTCAGCAAGGAATCCATCAGAAAAAGATGTGGTCATTACACTTCTGATCTCCACCTGCAATGAAGGCTTCATTATTGAACATCATTATTATATAGCTATAAACCATTCAAATTTTTCCTACCTTTACAATTTATCTAAACCATAATTAAACCTACACATTTTTGAATCTCCAGTCCCTCAAGCACTCATATATTACACCTATATTTTCTTAAACTTTTTTTCATTCTGCAGTGAACAATAGTTTACAATACATACAAATTTAAAACCTGAATTTCATCAGCCCTGTAGGGATTGTTTCACCCAGATGACTGAATTTATTTCTTCTGGCTCAGGAAGAATTTTAATATTAACTCCGAGACATTAAATGTAACAAAAAACAATGAAAAATACAGCTAGTAATTCAGAATTTTTATTTCATTGGAATCACAAGTCTAATGTTTAACACACTTATTTTACATCCTGCAGAGGCAGATGCAATCAATACCAAGCATCAAGCAGAATGTGTATATCGATTGCACAAACACCTCTTTCATACTCATGTTATCAAGTAGGTTTTCTAACCTCTATTCTTAGGAACACCATTTGGAGGATGTGCACACGTTTGTGTAAAATGAACTGTTGTTATGACTTCATCTGTGCGTGTGTGTTGGCACTGCAGGCAGCTCTGCTGAAGTGAGAACTTGGTCGTATCCAGAGAGAGAAAATCGGATCACCAGAGCACCATTCAGAAGGAGCTGCTGAGTAAGTGCATTGTGTTTTTTTCTTTCCTGCTAAGAGATTAAATACCATACCTGGATATTATTTCATAAATACCACACACAGGGTACTTACGGGAGAGATAAGGGAAGACCGGTAGCACGGGCAAAAATCAGAGGTATTAGGAGTTAGGAAATGTTAACTGTGATAGATGCATTTTTCTACCATAATGAGCTCACTGGGAATGCAGTGGGTTTGCTCCACAGAACAGTTAATTAAAATTTTAGCAATGCTTTTTATTTCTAAAACCTGCAGAAGACAGGGCCAGGTTATGGTGTGTTTGATGGTTTAACTGTGGAGATTAGGTTCAGATTTTTCAGTGGTTTTATCCAGCAAGCTAATACTGGATCAACTCCATTCTAAATGTTCAAAGATACCTAAGGCTCATTTTCAGATTTATTTAAGGCAAGTCTATATAGGCAGGTCAGCAAAGAGACAGGTTTTCCCTGGGTGCACTCTGAGGTGGCCAACACAAACTAGTTCTGAACAAGAGCAATATAACTCTGTTTAAACTATTAAGCCCAGCTGAGCTTACCTAACAGTCATGCTTTTGCCAAGTGTAGAATCACAAGATTCTTGACTAACTTAGAGCACAAACAGGTAAAATTTGCATTGTCCTTGGATGGGTAACTTCACAGATGCAAAGCATAAGATCATTAGAACCCACACATGCTTTCATGTTATGATGATCAATGTATGCCTGTATTTTTTCTCAGAAAATAAAATAATTATTCCTGAGGTAATGGTGAACAGCTGGTAGAGAATTTACGTATATGAGTTGTACATAATTTATTCATCATAGGATTTACAAAGATATTTCATTTCCTTTGCAAATGTCATCAGTAGAGAACAGTGGCAACAGATAACTCATACAATCCCCCTTTTATTATTTCCATAGAGTCAAAATACACAGGTCACACACACACCAAATAGAACACTTTAGCTCAAGAAAAGAAATGCAATTGTGAAATGGATTTGCTTGCACAAATGCATAGAAGTTTTCCAATAAAGCAAGAAGGTGCTATTGATTCTGATATACCCACCCCCAAAAACACAGGCTTTGCAGAGTCAATACTATCTTGATTTAGGTTTTAACCCAACCCAAAAGTCTCAGACTCGGCTCCATCCACTTATTGATTTGTCTGGCATGCTGGGTTGTTTTTTTTCCAGAAATGCTTTTCTGCTCTCAAATTTTAGCTAGCTCTCCCAAGAAGAATGTCACAAAGAGCAATTCTGTTCCTTACAACTGAGCTATTGACTATGGTAATAAAAAGGAAAGACAGAAGTCATGTCAGCTTAGCTTCTCACAGGACCTTACAGTGCTCCTTCATTCAAAAACACTTATGTAATCAACAAGCAATGAGTAATGAGTTGCACGATATCAGCAGCCCTTAATTTTCTATCAGGTAGGATAAAAACTTTATAAAGCTGTGCTATTCTTGAGGAATAAAAGATGTTATAACTACCAGCAACACATCAGTTCTTTGCTATTTTGCCACAATACCTCTCCTATTTTTTATTTTTTCTCTTCTGCTACCTGACATCTAAATGTCTATAATTTTAGACATCAAGACCACATGCCAGAAAAAAAAAAATTCACAGCAAGAGAGCTGAAAGATATTATTTTTTCCATTTGTAGACAGTAGTTTCACCTGATGTGCAACTTCAACACCTTCTTCATCTTTTTATGGGGAAGGAGGGGGGTGAAATGAAGGAGCACAAAGAGACAGCACAGCTTCCTTAATAAGCCTTAACAATTTTGCTTTTATTAAATTTGTGCAGAGAAATTGAAAACCTTCAGGTAGGGGCAAAAAAAGCCCTGATGATGAATCATAGAGGAAACCAAGAGAGGAAATAAAGCCATGCTTAGAAGAGATTAAACAAGCCATAAAGTTTTTAATAAAAGTAGGATATAGGAAATAGAAGGAGACATAAGTGATTGATTGAGGTGCAAATGTGTGTGTGGGTAGGAGGAAAGTGAAGGGTGAATTTGTCTGGGGAGAAGATCCATTTAGGTCATTATAGTTCAATATGGCCATGATCCAGAAAAAGGCTTGAGCATATGTTTGGTTTTAACATGTGAGTCACTCTCTCAACATCTGAGCTCTGCTGACTTGCTCAGGCTCAGGTTTACCTGATTACATCAGAATTCTCTGTTGAACTATATCACCCCATTCTGAAGTCTGTAAGCCAACCAACTGAAAGACTGAGTGGCTTTGGATTGGGTATCTTCTGCACACAGAAAAGGACACACTCTGCTCTCCACTATGGCATGAGCTTAAACACGGAAATATATACAGAGGTTGAAGAAGAGGAATGTCAATAGCAACCAGAAGGGATGGATCAGAGGACTGTGCAAATCTTTAACTGCTGGAAAACTGTGCTAAAATTTTATAAGAGATTGCACGTGATAATCAGATTTAATTGGGGCAAAATTACTATGCACTTAATACTTACTTGTGTGGTTCCATCAGTGGTGCCTGTGCTCGCAGGCTGCAGGGTCCCAGCAGAGAAGGAGCATCCCAGGAGCACCAGCTGTGCCACAAACATGCCCAAGGACAGGGCAGAGCACAAGGGGGGTCTCCAAAGTGCTTCTGTGAACACCCTTTATGTTGCAGTCATTAAATGCTGATAACGAGAAATGGATTCTTTGATTGTTCTTTCCACCTCGAGTTTTGATGGAATTTCTGGCCAGGGCACAGGAATGATTTTAGAAAAAATCTGATTAAGTCCATGGTTCTGAACCACTAATGTTGACTCATTACCTTGCGAAAAGACCACAGGTTTAAATCTCACATATTTTTTTCCCCCATCTTCTCATCCCTAGGAGTCCATTCTTCTTTCTTTCTAAGCTCCAATCTTACATTTTCTAGGGCAGAAAGAAATACCATACTGGCTTTTCAGAAAGGAACAAAGTAGGAAAGATTAGATACACACAATACATGTCAGAGTCACAAGGTACCATATTTATTTTTCTTAACTTTGTTTCCCGAGAAATGGGAATAGAAAAATCACAGCTTTCACTGAACAATAAAGTTAATTTCTAGTTCTCAAGGTTTCACAGAAAGGCATTAAAACATAAGTCTTGCAATGTCACCACAAATATCACTTTGACTTCTTGAATTTTCTTCACTTTTGAACTGGCTCTCTGAGGATGCAACTATTCAGTTATACACGCAATTTGCAGAATAGAGGAACCTGTTTATCTAATATGTCACTGAGTTCTTTTTCTCCTAGGAAGCTGTGAAGATGCACAAGAGCAAACATCTATATGTTAATAAAAACAGTATGTTCACGAGGTATTTTTTAAATTGCTGTATTTTATTAATAAGCTAATAGCTAAAAGGTTTCTTTGAAAAAATTCAGAAGTTGAAATTAAAAACCGTGTGTCTTTTTCAGCATTTTAATGTTTCATTTATTGGTAGACTCTCAATCAGCAAGATGAGGTGGCTGATAATTATTCAGGGTTGCCAATTAACCTACTTAGCAGGTCACACAGGTAACTGGAATAGATCGTGTCAAATCTCATTATTGGGATAATAATTTAATCAGCCAGTGCATTGACTGAAGGCCGGAGAATCTGGAGAATAAATTAAACAGGAAAATAAAATCAGTACCTAGGCAGACATTACATTTAAATACGTGAAAACAGTTTATCACACAAACTTCTAAAGCACACTACTCAACTAGCAGCAACCCAGTAAAGTCTGGGGTGGGGGTTTTCAAGCACAGTCACCTTCCCCTGCACATCTTTTTGTGATCTGTGTGGAACAATCCTGGCCCCTCCTTTCCCATACATCCCAGCCTTTTTCAGTTCTTTGTGCCTGGTTTTAGAGCAATGACAAAGGAATGTCAAGTAAGAAAGTCGCATAATGGATAAAATGATATTGCTGGATCTTTCAAGGGCAGGAGAGAAGAAAAATTACAATAAGTGCAATTTTCAGTCATAAAGTCGGTGAGAAAGCTGTGCTTTCTCTATACAATAATGCTCTGCATTTACAAGGCGATTGTATAAATAGGAGGTAGGAAGTGTAGAGCCTGTCTGGAAGCAGATAAACGTTCTCTGGGCAGATGGAGAAAGACCTACTGGAAGGAACAATAACATGTATAAAAAAGGGTTTGATACACACAGGCTACATGTGAGTTTGAAGCAGATACATACTTGTATCTTCTTCAAAGAGATGCACAAACTTGCCTGGTAATTATCAGTTTTAATATTCAAAATACAGACTGAAGAAAAAATACCACTGCTAGTTATTCCTGAACGTGTGAGGTGTAAGGAGCCCCACAGAAGAGACAAAAGTACATGCAAGCCTCCAGAAAAGATGACAATATGGTGAACCTGCCCTTCTGTTCATGGTCTATTTCAATGGTTTACTGTCTACAAAACCAGAAGGCTATAAAAGAAGCCATCACTCCTCTGAGCAGTGGATCATTCAGTTTAAACATATCTCATAGATGTTATAGCCAAGAATTACAGCACTGCTCCAGGACTTGTAATTTATTCACTCAGTAGGGAAAAAAAGTGACTTCAATCTCAGCTCATGATAGGCCTGTAAAATGAAAAACAGCCAGCATGCAAAAATAGCCAGTGTGCCAGGAATGAATGCTGATCTCCTAACTAGATTTGGTTTGGTTTTTTATATAACAAGGATCAAAACCACATGCTTAAGTTACTAGGTATGACCTAGACCACTCACTTATGTTGTCAAATATATTATTTTCAATGATAAATCATCTTGCCACTGAAGCAGCATATATTATAGCCAAAAGGCTGAGCATATCTATCCCAATTCTGGAATTACAGAAGCAGTATGGAGCTCTGAAGTGTCTATTTAGCTAATCAATAACTTCTTAGAACTTTTTTTTCTTTTTTTTTCCCCAAAGACTAAAGCAGGGTAGCACCATCCATGGATGTAACCCATTAGCTCAGGAGTGCCAGATAACAGAACCTGCCTGCAGAGGAAAAATCACTTTCACGTAATTAGTAGAAAACTTAACACTGATGAGTTAAACTTTCTCATTAAAACTTTCCCTGATAAAAAAAAAAGCAACAAGCTTAAAGATAAGAGCTTTACTTACTTATTTATTTTAACATAAAGCAAGAGCTCAAAAGTACTGGATAAATGCAGTGTAAGGGCCTCTCAGGATATGTCAGCAGTTACAAAAGGCCCACAGCTCCCAGTCTGCTTTTCTGGTTCTTGTGAATATTTCCAGTGCTTTCAGCTCACTGCCATTTTTAATATATTAGGTACTAAAGTTATAAATGACTAATCAAATTACATGGGCTAAGATCACAGTAAAGACTGATGGTAGATGAAGAAACTTGATTAGACTACTGAATATTACACCACCCAGCTGTCTAGAAAAATCAGGCTTTATAAATGCTTTGATAAGGCAAAAACATTATTGACTCCATTCCATGATGGTCCAGAGAGCCAACATTTCAGAGGTTAGCTTAGGACACCAATATAGCCGAGGCATGAATCCATAGTGTGAAGGCAGGATATATTCTAAGCAGGGTTTCAAGTCTGGATGGAGATAAGCCCAAGAGCAAGTAACAATATGGATCCACTCTGCTGTATCTGTGAGGAACTTGCAGAGACTGAACATACACAAACTGCATCTTCAAAGATAGATTGTTTTGCATGAGAGGTTTCCTGAGTGATCTCTGGGAAAAGGATCAATGAGAAACTAGGCTTCCCTCTCATTTATTACATTTTCCATTAAAAAAAAAGGTTTTTCTATTATTTTCTCATTTATAATTCACAGTCTGTAATTGTCATGAAAGTAATCCCATTATACTGTAGTCTTAGCACCATTTTACAACTTTTCATTTTAAAAAAGTGTTTTCCAGTTCCACCATTATTACTTCAATTGACAACAGTCACATATATTTGTTAACTACAGACATCGTGAGAAGAATTTCTAGCTGATAATAAAGAACCATAATACAGTGTGATAGCAATTTGGACAGATTCAGACAGGCTAAAATGTTACTCAGCACCTCCTCCCAGCAGTGTGCAGGCTTGAATACTCCTGTTCAGTGCCAGCCTTTCTCATTCCTCTCCTTACCAGACTAACCCTGACCAAATGTCCATTCACCTATAGAGGTGATGTTAATTTGCTGACACCCTTTCAGCAAACTGAACCAGACACTTTGGGTAGGGAACAGCTCCTTCTCCTTCTGGTGAAAATGCTGAGTGCTCACAGCTGCTGCTTTCCACTGAGAAGAAAACAGCAAGCAGGCTTTCATCAGAAGAGGGGGAGACAAGGGAAATGACAGGCTCTGAGCCTCCCCAGGGTTAGAGCAACTCCTCCCCAAGGCAGGCACTGCGATGCTTCCCGGGGTCTGCCCCTGCCACCCCCCAAAACAGAGCTAAACCTGCTGCTGTGTGGCTGCTTTGCCCTGTTCCCCTCCCAGCCCTGACTTCACTCCCTCCTCACAGAGTGCTGTCTCATAGGGTAGATCAGCTACAACCTACTGGGACCCTTATCTGAGCATCTACCCAAATGCCAGGGCTGGGAGAGCAAAGGGCACACTGGTTTGTTTTTGTTGTGTTTTTTTTTAAATCTCATCACAATTGCCTGTTTCTCTGGACAGCAAAAATGGTTTTAAATCACCACAAGCTGCAAAGAGCCTGGACTACTCTATCCCACTCCCTAGGCAAGCATTTTATCATCAGGTAGTATTTTTTACAAATAGATACTATATATTACACTCAACACAGAGTACAGTGATCCCTCTTCAAGCCCTGGTGAGAAAAGCAGTGTTGGAAACTTGGTCTAGGACACAAATTAGTCCCATATAACTTTCCATGCTGAAGGTGTCACTGGCTGCCTGCATCTGTGCTGGGCACTGCTGGCTCAGGAAACGACAAGTTTTTTGGTCTAGGGCTGCAGGACATGGCTGATTTTTGTTTGCCTCTCTGGCTTTCCCACTGCTCACAGAAGAAAGCCTTTATCCTCCAGTAAATGCACAGCTGAACTAATACATTGTCAGGGATTCACTGCAAAAGGACAGTTTGCTTCTCGAGATAATGCTAAAGATTCGCAAGTGTAAAAGCCTGAAACAAAATGTAGAACATTTTAAATATAATGCAGTGAATAACCACGGACTTTCCATAATAATCATCATTCAGTGAATTTATTAATAGAATAAAAGCAATATTGAAGCAAATACATGACCTCTGACACGAAGAATGGGTTGCATTTCATATTACTTTACTTAACTGCCCCCTCCTTCCCCCACCAAACAGAAGCTTTATTGACAAAATGTGCTCTGGTAATTTAGTCTGTAGACTTAAAGAATGTGCAGCTCTGGGAAAAACTGAATTATGGGTTCTATTTGTGAGATGAGGAATGGCATGTAATAACTTAATGAACTGGAAGTTTATTAGTCGTAAAAGAGAGAACTAATGGAATGCGTTGTCTATCAATCTTTTTTTTTTTTAGCTCAAAAATATTCAGGTGGGTAAGCGCCACATCCATTATGCGTTTATTATCTCACTAATACCAATATGTGCTAAAATCTCAGCAAGCCACAAAAATATGTCTCAGCTTCTAATTTAATGGGTATTTTATTAGTCAGTTTTGGAGGCTCTGCTCTAAACCCAGCCCTGTAAAAATATCTACTCAGATATCTGGCCAGCAAAAAATTCACTTGAACACAAGAGGTACCTGCTCACATCATCCAAGGGTGCAGCCTCTGCTCCCTGTACAGACTGCATTCATCAAAACTGGGGAGTGAAAGGAATTCACACACAGTCACAATGACAGCTGCGTTTCAATAGCTATTTATTGCTCTATAGACACATAAGTACAAAAGGACAGCGAGATAACAACTTTAACAAGAAATGTGTAGAGAAGCCAGGCTAATATAAAATGGAAGAATCAAATCCTTGGCTATTAAAGAAGTTTTCTTCACTTTTGCATGGACTTATTTATTTTGCACAATTTAATGATTTGCCTCGAAATAATTTGGATCATGATACTTATGTGTGAATATGCACAATAATGACAATAATAAAGTAGTTTAAAATCTATTACACTGCTTCTCCCAGTCTCTGCTGGTATTATGTCTTAAAAACACAATGTAACAAATATGTTGTTGTGTATGTAACAAATAGAATTTAGCCCTAAATAAATACACAAAACATATGTGCAAGAAACAAAAAAAAGACAGAATAGTAAATTCAGAGTTCAAGTCAATACATGTGAAGGTGTATGTAGAACAAAGCAGTCAGGTTTTAATCTATCACCCCCAATATTTCATGTGCTGCATAGATCCTTGGTTAATTGCAACTTTGACCCTGCAAAAGATCAATTTGTTTGCTTTGATTTGCTTTTCCAGAAATAAAAATAAGCAAGGAAAGAAAATCTGCATTAATTTACCCCTCTAACAGGGTCCTATGGGTTGCTTTTTTTGGTTTATTGGTTTGTTTTTTTTTCAGGTGGCCAGTCTAGCAGCAGGTTAGAAGGCTGTTTAGAAGAACAGTCATAGCCATTCCACTTAATCAGGTAATAGCATACTATCGACATATTAGACCAATTTAATGCATTTTTTTTCCCCTTTATCCATTTACATTTCATCTCAGAGGTCCAATACAATGGGATTTTGAACTATTTGTGCTGAGCACAATCAAAGGGCCAGCAATCCAATAATTTGATTTTCTTGCTGAAGAGAACAGAAGGGAGGGAAAGCCATCTTCCCCTTGCTCCTGCAAGTGAGCTGCAGGCCTGCTACAGGCTTTAAGCTTCCTGTGTAAAACATACCCCAAGGGCAACAGAAGGCCACTCAAATCCAGCTTGGAGGGCATAAGTGGAACATGGCTGTGGCACGTTGGCTTTCTGCCCAGGAATAAATTCCAACCATTAGCATCAAACACTCATCCTGAAGCTCTCAAACTGAAATTAAATGCCATCTATCAAATGAATAAACAATAATAAATTAGAGCAGCAGAAGTAAATTAAAAGAAAATTAATTGCAGTAATTTTTACTGTGGATCATGTGTTCTGGATTGCTGTTCCGGGCTGTACCCCTCAGATTATCTTTCAGCCAATTTTTTCACTACTGGATTTTTGCACACACAAACCAGCCCTCGAAACACAAATTGAATTCATTCATGGTCTACACTACTTGTTACTAAAAGTATAGTTTTAAACGTGATTGCTTTTCCCATGCAAATAATTTTGTTTACTTCTGCTAGTCATAGGTTGAGTCTAAATGAATTGTATCTAAACAAAAATACAGACAACAACAACTAAGCATGCAAAAATGTACCTTTGAATGCCTCAGGTTGAACTGCACATTCTGGTTTAGGCTGTCAAGGAAAATTTCAGCAGGCTTCAGAATTTGGAGAGCTGTGAATTTAAAATGAATTAGTCCTTCAAAAGTGCTCAAAGGAAAAGTAAGCTGTATTCTGGGATAGATATTAAAAGGGGAATTTTCAGTTAGCAGAATTTAATTACCTAACAAATTTTGCCACGATGCCCTGGCTAAACTGTCAATTTTTGTGAAGTAGAAAAAAAACAACGCAATTCAGAGAAACTATTATGCTTTATCTGAATTACAGCTATTATAGCAATAAATTCAGCCTTGTGCTGCGATGGGACAGTATTAAAAAGGAGGGCAAAGGGAAATATCTCACTGAATATTAGTCTCATTTCCCAAAACAAGCTGACTCTTCCCGGGAACTTCTCCCCAAAACTTCCTTAGGGTATGAAATAATTGGCTATTAACCAGTGTGTTCTTGACCCAAAGAATGGAGCAGAAAACATGCAAGACTTGTCTGGATTACAAGGGGAAATAAAACAGAAATTAGAGTAGATAGATACTGACTGAGCCTGTGGCTCTCTGCATTTTGCTAGTTGGGACTTGGAGGCTTTTACCTGCATTTGCACCAGGGCAAAAGACCTGAGAAAAAGAGCAGGCAGAAAAGGGGGAAGGGAAAACAGAATAGCACAACCTTTTTTCCTTCTCAGATTTATTTTCCCTTGCCTGCTTGCCCTGCAATTAGCATGGGGCTGTGAAGTAGGAAGACTGCCACATCCATAGCATCACACTGCCGGTGCAGAGGGCATCTTGTCTCAACCCAAGGCAAAAGGGAAGTTACAGAAAAAGTGTCTGCAAGCTAAGGAAAAAAAAAAAAAAGCAAACTCTTACTTATCACAAATCCTGTGAAGAATCTTCTGAACAAGTGATATTTTCTTTTTTTTGCCTCTTGTAAATGTGATCACCTGTAACCTCCCAAAACCCCGAGGGCTGCCCCAGCACCCTGAGCAGCCAAACGAGGAATGGTTGAGGATGCCAGGCAGTTCCCGTGCCCTGGAAGGATGAAAACAAGTTGTTAGTATGCACCAGGCAGTGCTGAGGGCTGAGCCTGCTGCTAATAAGTGCCAGGCAGAGGGCTCAGGTCACAGTTTTGCTAAATTCTATGCACTTGGTACACCTGTGAAACACCACATCAACAGGCAGCTGGGCTCACACAAGTGCAGGGCAGTGTAACCAGGGTGCTGGGGCAGGTCTTAATGCTGGCTCATGGTGGTTCATAATGGTCCCCAGGAAGTGTCTGTCCACTACAGATGACAAACAGGAGGCAATAAAGGTGCTGGGATGGGCTATGATCTCGCTGGCACCACAGATATGTGATGCACTAGCTTGGTAGGATCAGGAGGGGGATGTTCAGCTGCCATGGAGGGCTGCTCTGCATGGATCCAGCTCTACAGGGAGGACAGGCCAGGACATCAAGGAGGGAGAGCTGCCCTTTATGTGAGAGAGCAACTGGGGCCCCTGGAGCTGTCTGTGCCTTGGCACAGGTGACAAGACAGTTGGCAGCATATGGGCCAGGACCAGAGGGCATCCCATGCTGGCTGACATTATGGTGGGTGTCTGCTACAGGCCACCTGATAAGGAAGGAGCAGACGAGGCAAAACACTGCAAACAGTCTCATACTCAAAGGCCATCAAGGGTCAGAGCACTGAAGGAACACTGAGTGCTGCTAATGAAGTAGCAGAACACACACACCACAATATGCTCCTGGTAGATTCTAGCTTGGCTCCATCTACCCTAAACAGTGGTTTTCATCCTCTGCATAAGCATTCTGCTGCTGGTCAGAGGATGGTGAGTCCTACCTGTAGAGCACAGACCTCCTCAGAAGTCCCCATGTTTCCTCCCTGTCTTACACCCCATCAGAATGTTCTGCAGCAGAAAGAAAGGTTCTGTCCTCTCCAGCCTTACCCTGCTGATCATCATTTGATGCCCTGAAAGTGTAACACATGTAAACACAAGGTACTGGCTGCAAATTTTGACAAAACATTTCTTTTCACATGGAAAAAAGGAGGTTGTTTGTGTAGGAAGTGTGTGTACCTGCTTTAAATAAGATCTCACTCTATTTCAAAAGCCTTCACCTGCCATATATCCCAAAGTATCTGAATAGAAAGAAAGGTAAGTGGAAAAACTTTACAGATTTGAGTAAAATGAAAAATTACTGTAACAGGTGTTTCAGCAGTTTACATAATGCCTGAGTTTTTACCTATATTGAGGCCCTTCAGCATAAACATAAGTGGGATTCAGCTGTAAAACAATTTAATTTTCATTAATGGGAAAGAATATTATCCCCAACACTGTGCTTCCCCATTCTTGTATCTGTGTGGCAGGAATTTCTCTGATTTTGTTGCAGTCAGGGTCCCCTATATCACAGAAATATGGCAGGCAGAGCCAATTTTGCCTCAGTTTTTTTACATACTCATATAGTGGCAGAGAGATCAGACAGCAAACAGAAAGTCCTGTGGCATATTCTAGAAATGTGGGACCATTTCTAGAGAATTTGAGGGAGGAATTTTAATATATTGAGAAGAGTCTATAACTTCAAACACAAATTAGGATCCTTAATGTCCTTTAAATTCTATGGTAAGCTGTTCAGATTCAGTGAGTGCCTCAGGATCTTGCCTCGCTACATTCTTATGCACACCTCCATAATATCAGTGCTTTGCTTATTCCCCATTTCAGTAACTTTAAATACATGATGAATTCTCTCATGCTGCAAATTTATCTTCATTGAGCTATCTTTTGATCCTGGGCATTAACTCTGATCAGCACTAAGGCAGAGACAGTCTATCCAATTAGCAGGTGACAGCCTCAGAACCTCAGGACAGAGCACCTCCGTTGCACTGCCTTCCAGGAGGTTTGACCTCAACAAACATTAGATGAACCTGGCCATGGTACTTGTCTGCCTGCCTCAGCTCCTCTGCTCAGACAGCACTTTGACCGTGAGCAAAGTTATATTCTGCTTTCAGAAGGTGCCAAAAAAGGATGGCTTTAGGTCCGTAACTTGCTAAGCTCTGTTAATACAGCTTTGTTCTGACACTAAGCAATTACATAAAGCATCTTGACTTTCTCTGTATAAAAGCAACTCATCATCAGATGCTCCCTTGTATGGAATCCAAACAACTTGTTTTCTAACATCAGCAAAACCAAGTATATCTTTCAGAGGTGATGGGTTCTGTGTTCCCTGTAGGCTGCTTTGATACTGATGGCATCCAGCAGTCTCTGTCCCACACAGTAGCTACACCTGGGGCAATGACCACCTTGTTTTATGTTTTCTTTTATCCAGAGCAAGGGGCTTCTGAGCCATAGTCAAGGTTCCTGGGCACTGCACAGATACCAGCTGTAGTACTGGGTTCAGAGTCAAGTAAGCCTGGACTTTGTTTTGCCAGCAGTTTCAAAGCACAGGGGGAATCCAATACCCCCACCTCCCTGTTTTGTACCTCCAGTTAATCTGTTTGTACCTGTTGATGTCAACTGATTCCTGTTTGATTTTACATTGCAAAACCCCAGAGCTATGAAAGCAAGAATGCCAAGACTTGAGAATGTGCTGTAAGCTGGACGAAATCAGTCACTTTCCAGATGTTCCTGGATGCCTGAGGATGTGTGAAATGGGGCTGTGCTGAGGAACTCTTAGATGACAGCAGGTGTGAAATGCCTAAGTGTGAATGAAACACAGCTAGAATGGAAAAATAAAACTCCAAGATCTAGTAATGGCCCCAATAATTTCTGAAGCTAAGTCTGATTGACTGTGGGACTGTATTCCTTCAGCACCTCAGGTTGGTCATTAGCGCTGAAACCAATGTGTGGTCATGTACACAGAGCACCAGAACACCAGGAAAAATGCAGGCACTTGTGTTCTTACAGTAGCTCCTGCTTGCTTGCCTTTGCCCAGCTGGGAATCACCACACTGGTCTGCAACAGGGGAGTGCATGGGTCTTGGTCCTGGCAGAAGACAGGCTCACACTGCCTCTGGGGACAGAGGGGCAGAGCTACAGAAGCATTGGTATCTCTTGCTTTTCAACACCCAATATACAGGAAGGAGAGAACAAGCTGTGGCTGCCCTGCTGCCATATCAGCCTCAATCTATTCCAAGAAACAAAGCAAACTGCAGCAGGCACTCGTTCATAAACATCGTAAGATATCACCTCACCTCAGCATCACACCAGGACAATTAGCTTCAGCACTGTTTTACATGGACACAGCTTTCAGTTCCAGCATTTGGTTACTTCTGAGAACCCTGGGATCACCAAACCATGCTCTAAAAATGGAGTTTACCCTATTTTTCTTTTGCAGTCCCTCCTCTGTGCTTCTTCCACTTTGACTAATTTTTTTTTTTAATTTTTTTGGTAGCACGATTGATTGGAAGTCTGTCTTGTCAGCCTCTGTCCAGTCCTGCGTTTTTCCAGGCATTTTACATTCAGTACAACAGATCTAAAACTAGAGCTGAGATCATAAGAACAGAAAAAAAGGATCAAGAAGAAAATCTTCCAATCCATCGAGAACATCACTCCTTCATGACTGAAGTGTGTTGTACAGAAAGAGTAAAGTCAGAGAAAATTGCTTTAATCTAACATGGAGCAAGGAACACCATTCGAATGAGAAGAGCCATATTATCACTGCTGAAGTTACAGTGCCTTTCCTGAACTTGCTCAAACCACCACTTGCCTGGATTCTTGCTAAGGGTTAAGAGAACTGAACACACAGTCCTTTCTGAAGGGATGTCTGGGAAAGGGCTGGAGGTGAACGTAACACAAGGAAACCTGGAATGGGGAGGAGGACTAAAAATACAACTTTACTCCTCTGCAAAATCAATTCAACTAAAATTGGGTAAAAGAACAAGATGATGTCTCCCTCCTACAACACATTCCATTCTTTATGTTAGCACTCAGTTAAACAAAAATAAAGATTAGCTAAAGATTAGCTCATATTAATATAGAGTAAGTTCTGATGCCTAAATTTTAACACAATGTGCCAGCACTACATTCCTTTTTGTTTAAAATGAGAATTAGAATCTTTCTAATAAAAAGGTTTCTAATAAACTGAAAAGTACATGATATTTTTCCTATAAAGAGAAAAGTGGTCATCACCAACAGAGATGAAAGTAATTGAGAAGATTCTTAAAAATAGGGGGAAAAAAAAGATACGGGGAACAAATTCAGTTAATTCTTCTTTTCAGGATCTAATTAACCTCCAAAACTGAGTCTCCAGCCTTTCCCATGTGTTTCAATGCAATGGAGAATGTCCCTTGCTACAAACTGTAGGTCTGATTTAATGGAGCTTTGATTGAGGATAAAGACAGAAGAGTCAGTCTCTGGTACCCTCTCTTCACACTGAAAAGTGTCCAATTCCAAAGGCGAATGCACTCAGCTCAGTCATCCCAATTAAAGTGTCAGCTGCTATTCAGCATAAGCAAAGATAGCACAAAGAATTCAAAAGAATCAGCCATTGCAGCATATTTACAAAGGCAGCACAGCAATTGATGTTGGTCACGAACAGCAAAGGAAACCACATGTTATTTAAACAAAGAGATGTACATACTTACAGGTATATATTTACCCATACAGTGCTCATACACATATATATTACAAAACAAAATTATATAAAAAAGAGTAGAAACCCTTTGCTCTCTCTCGGTCATCCTCTTGAATCTCTGTATGAAAGTAAGTGGAATTACAGCAGAAGCTGAAACATCTGGATGTTGAAACAGTGTCTTCTGGCTGCAAGTAAAAAGTGTTAAAAATAAATAAATTTTCATATATCTTTTTTTTTTTTTCCAAGGGTGTCTACAACAACTCATCTAGTATGCACAGCACACTTAAACCCTGGTCTTACACTGATGTCAGCCTGCCAAAATCCCTCATGGCTCTGGAGGAATTCCTGTGCTGAGATGAGGATCCGGCCTGATGCCGACCGGGTCATACCCTGCAGTGGTGCCTGGCACAGATCTGCTGACATCTCCGGAGGTTCTGCGTCAGTGCTCGTGGCACTCTGCTACATTCAGGTCAAATCACCTGAAATGCTCCAGCTTCTTTGTTTCCCAAATGCCTACCAGTTACTATATTTTTTTTATCAGAAAGAGTGGAAGTGACAGAGAGAGTTCCCTGCCAAAGGTTATCTCCCAGCTCATCGTGTGTGTCCTTCTGCTGCCACATCCAATAAATCATTAACACCGTCTGTTCCAGGCAGGCTTCCCTGGGACTGCTTCTGTGGGACCAGCATGAATTTCTGCAGGCTCCTGCAATAGGGAGGACAAGCTGGGCTGGCACCACAGCTCTGTGTGGACATGGCCAGCCTTCCAATGCTTGTGAAATGATCTTTCAAAGTTCGGCTTTCAACTGCTACTGTTGTTTCCAAGAACAAAAGAGACACAGGCAATTGGGCTGTGCTCAGCAAGAACAAAGCTCACCCACAGCAGTGGGCATCTCCCCAAAGTCCTCTCTACTGGCTTGAAAGAAAGGACAGGGATGCACTGCTCCTCTCAAACTCCCAGAAGAGTCCCAATGAAGGGACCACCTCAGGGGTTTTGGACTAGGTGGATGTTCGGGCTCACACAGAAAGAGCTTCAGCCACTTCTGCTGACCCCACGTGGATCAAAATTACAGGGGAGGCTGCTGTGTAATGAGGTGGTAATTTCTGGCTCCTCTTATTTGAAAGCAAATTCACTCCCAATAGCTTAACACAAGACATTCATAAAGTCCTTCTTAAGCCCTTGAAGATCCATCTCAATTTCCTGTGCAACAGCTGGTGTGGGTTTACAATAAATGGGAATAAACTGGTACACGGCCCGTGCTCTTGTAATTGGCACAGTGATGGGCTTTGCATCCCTTTAAATATTTGTGAAGCCAGATGACCCAGGCAAGCAGCAACAGGATGCCACCCCAAAGCACAATTATTTTATAGCTTCTATTTATTTTTTGGACTATCAAAATTTATGACAATCACTAAAGCAGACTGATTAAACCCCAAGCATAAACACACCATGACAGAGAAGTTGTTTTGCTATCATCCTTAGGAAGCGTCTATTTGAAAAGTACATGGCAATATCAAAGAGCTCTCTATTGATTAAGCTTTGAAAATAAAATTGCGCCACTTATCATATGCTGTTTGCAAAAATGCCAATCATTATAATACTCAGATAAGCATATATTGCGTCTTCCCCCTGAACTCGTTAAGTTTATTACTGAGACTCTATCCTGAGCTGCCTACATGTGGAAAAAATATCATTCAGATAACACATTAACATTTATAACCAGTATTTAAAGCTGCACATGGTGCCATCACAAATGATAAGGGTCTTGTCAGCACTTCCAGCATAAGATTAATTTGTGGGAATAGAGGGAGGGAGGGAGTGGCAACACTGTATTTCAGCTATTTTAAATGACACCAACACGAAGCCTGACATCCAAGTTGTCAATCTAATTGTACCTATCTTTCAGAGATAGGTGCATCTTTCATGTCCACGTTCAGTTTAAAGAATTCTCAATACAGCATTGTAAACTACCTGGCAGGGGCTGTCATTCTGCTTGTGCATACAGCATCCCACACAATCATAATTCTAGATCTAAACCTTCATATTACAAAAGCTCTTAAGGTATGGAACAAAAATTATATGACCCCCTCCTCACAGCTATACTTGCACTCTACAGAAGAAGGAAAGAGATAAGCAAAACAGCTAATAATACAACAATGAGATTGGTTTGTGACTCATGTTATCAGATGTTCCTGCAGTATCAAAATACTAACAATACTGAGTACAAATTGTAATAGCAGAAAGGGTAGAAAATAACAACTAAAACTCTTTTTTGCAGGGAGAAACTTGTAGGTGCAGCTCACCTGCCTCGAGCCCAGTTCTGCTGCAGGTACAGAGTAAGCTGTGGTTTGTGAAATGAGACCTGTGCAGCTGTTGATGTCAAAGTATTCTGCTAAAAGAAAACATATTTAAGATATTTGTATTACTAAAAAAATAATTATCAAAAGTAAAAAAGCAGTTGTCATAAGGCAAGAGAGACTTCAGAAAGACACAACATCTCTAAAAGGGAAGGTACTGAAATGCTTATACTTGACATGGTCTGGACCACCAGCCAGTTTATAAGTAAAGAGCTGTAAAGGAATGACCTCATCCCTATATAATTCCAAGTCCATCAGTAGCACCAGCTAGAAATAATAAAGCCAAACACTTCTATCTGCAAAAGGAACAATATTTCTAGTCAGAAATCTCAAATGCTAACCAGTGCACTGGTTGCAAAGCACAAACACTCTGGAGGAAATGCGTGCTCAAATGGGTTTTCCAGATTCTAAGCCAGAGTTGATTACCAAGGCTGACTGAGCTGTCCTCTTCTCCTCCCAGCTTTACTTGCTGCTCAGTCACAAAGTGGACACAAAAATCTCCTGCTGTGCAAAGGCTTTTATTGCTTTACAGGAAGCAGACTGATAGAGGGTAAAAAAAAGAGGCCACGTAAAGGACGGGCAGTTATTCAAAAATTATATGCTTTGGAATGGAAAGAAATACCACAAGTGTTACAGAATGCATAAGGACACTTCATACTGAGGCCAAATATTCATGCCCTCTTGCCATAGCTGTCCCACTTCACATGGAATCTCATGGACTAGAAAGACACCACACAAGGAACAAGATCCCCCTGTGTAGCAGTGAGGCACAACACTTATCCTCTGAGTATTCAGCAGATTCAGGTGCTCCCTGGCCCCATGAAGTCAAAGGGAGATTAGTCAGTGGCTCAAGTCTAGGTCAGGATTTTATGTATGTCTGCATTGTGCTTTGTGCAATAACAACTCAGGGAGCTACTTCAGATGCCAAATAAATTTTGAGGTTTCTGTGGAGTTTGAAATACTTTACTCTAGGTGATTCTCCCCAACATATTAATGCAACCACCATTCTCATAAGTTCTAATTGTCCCATCAATTTCTTTTGATGCCACTTGGAGTTGTACATCACGCTTCAAAGTCAGCATCTGTAATACCAACCTCCACAAAGAGAAATATTATAGGGTATTTTTCAGGTAAATGATTACTGCTCAGAGACAGCAAAGTTTCTGGCTAGAGTGATGTGGAAAAGACCGTAGGAAATCAGGAAATGTTTTTCCTTAGTCAAAAAATGAAGTCTTTAATTTTCAGAAACTTGACTTTTCTATCCTTGGAAAGACAAAACAGAAACTATTTCTTCCTAAAAGCTAATGACGGGGGAAGGAGGAGGGTGGTTGGGGTTTTTTTGGGTTTTTTTTGTTTTTTCTGATTCATTATACCCTCATTTCAGAGGCAAACTGGGGAAAATGAATTCCATCTCAGCCAGACCCAACACACCGAGGCCAGGCTGAAACCTTTCAGCCTGTTGGGGCAATTCTCAGTCACTTCCACTCACTTGAGTGGGAAAATAAAATCTCTAGTAGCACCATCTTTCATCAGACCTGGTTCAAAATTTTTGTGAAGGGAGGGGACCTTGACTGGCAGCCAGACAGGCACACACACCCCATTAAATTTCTTGTTAGAAACCAGGTGGAAAACACAAAAGTCAATGACAACCCAACATTTTTCTTCAGTCAGCAACTGTTCGCAAACATCTCATGGAATTAATTTAATGGAAAGATCTTTTGGGAACACATGGAGTCTTAAAAAATGCTGGTGTTTTTTTCTAATCATCTCATTTTTTTTTCTGGAGTGAAACCAGAATTGTGTGACCTCTGTGCATAGTGACAACTCAATGACACGGCTCTCATTCTGCATGTGGAATACGAAATGCTCACCGTGAACTGCTCAAAAATAATCCTCAGGCCATGATTATTCATAGAAATTATTTGGTGAGTAATTTCAATTAAATAAATTCAAGGAATCAAGAAAAATAGGCTAAACTAATAAAATGTATTATTTATGATGAATAATTCATTTGAAGGAACTTTCTCCCACTGTTGCAGAAAGCCAGCTCAAGGCATAGGGCACTGAAGTCTCACTTAAGCCCTGTTCTGAGGTCTTAATTGGGGGCTTTCATGATGAATCACTCTGGGCTGGCCCTCTGCCCAGGACTGAATTTCACCCATTGCTCCTGCTCCTCACATATTGCTGGATATGTCATTAGCACAGTGGGATTTGTGTTCTTTCAACATCACTGCCATAAAAATAATGATATGGAGAGATTTCATTATGTTTCTTTTACTACTAATAAATAAAGGGAAGAAACCTCTCACATAACTCACTAGACTTTCAACAGTGAATATTCATCACACCCATACATCAACTGCATTATGCAAATATGAGCCCCACGTCCATTGAAGTAAAGCAAGAAGACCCAATAATTTAAACAAGACTCTCTGAATCACTAAAATCACTTGTGTGCACTTGTGCTTGCATGATGGGACATTCCCAGTTAAAAATATTCACGGTATGTAACACATAGATTATGACCCTGAGGAAATCTGAAAAATTGCACTTATAAATGGTAGTGGTAGATATTACTCTAGACATTCACGCATTTGAAATGCAATAAATGATAAATCCATTGTCATTTTAAGGAGAGGGAAAAAAAAAAGAACCAACCAGACTTTTTCTTTTGTTCCTGATGCTCAGAAATGCCAGCACAGAATATCTATCATCAGAAAGATTCATCTCGTTGTTCCTATCAGAGAAAAAGACCCATTGACACGATGAAACAAAGCACTTCCAAAAATATTTAAACCACTCAGTAAAACATAAGTGCAGGCTTTGAAGTTAAACATTTGTTCAGAGATCTGAGCCAAATCCCACTGAAATCAGGAGTCCTTCCATTGACACCAAAGGGCTTTGGATCAGACATACTACTTTGCTGAATAGGATGAAGACATCCATAAATATCAACTGTCTTACAGTACCTTGCTGGGCCCTGTGATAAAAGGTGTGAATGTAGAAGGGGAGTGGAGATTTATTTTTCTAAGCAAGAAAGAAAAAAAAATTGGGCTAAATCAAAAATAATGTTCCGTCTTAATTACACAGCCATGAGTCTCTCAGTATCCCCAAAGTACAGGTTACCTGGAGTGCTTCCTGACACACAGCTTCTCTAGCATATTTCCTGCTGAAACCAATATTACTGCTATTATAACACACAAAATTCTCTTCTTTAGACAGTTAGGATTAATGATACAAAACATCAGAAACTGATAGTTCTACTGCTGTGGTTTGTACCACCAGTGTAGAATCACACTGTGCTGTTACAAAACAGATTATCCCAGATATACTGAAACAAATGATGATAAAGTCTCTCTTTGCAAAAAAAAAAAATATGTTGCAGTGAGATAATGGGTCTCAAAACTGCTTCCTGGGAGGAAGCAGAAACTGAGGGAAGAGTTAGAAAGCCTGTTGATTTTAAGTCATAGTTAATTAAATTCTTTTATTTATACAGTAGGTAGTCATGACGTGTCAGTAAACAGTATTCTGAAGTAGGCCAGTTCTCCATATGCTTAAATGGTTAGGAGAAATGAAGCTAAAAAATTCATCTGGAAACCAAAGAAATTCGTTACAGTTGATGGCAAAGGCAATTAGTGACTGCCAGCAAAAGGCAACTCAGCAGACACCACATACTCCAGAGCACCCCTGTGCCCACAGACTGGCTCATCCACCAGCTCCCCTTCCACAGAGACTTCATGACAAACATGTCTCTCCTCTGGCTCTCTCGGGCGGGCAGTGCTCCAGTTTGCTGTTGCTGGGCAGCAGGGGTGAGCGGGGATGGAGGCAGGGCCATGGTGGGCAGAGCCTGCCAGCTCCTTCCTCCCTGCCCTGTGTGCTCACTCTCCTTCAATCACCCCCTGCTCATTCCTTGCCCGAAGGAAGCGAAAGCCAGAGACTCCTCTCTCATCCTGTCCTTTACAGCATACTTCCCAGTGCTGCTGGATGAGATAAAACCTTGGATTACAAGTAACAATTATTTTGCATGCTGCTCACTGCTAAATCTGGAAACCATTTATTACCTTAATAATTACTTTTAAGTGAGGCTTAAAAATATCCCACTTTATAGTACAGGAAAGATCCCAGCACTGTACGTAGTTATGGAGGGAGAATGTCTCCAGTTCCAAATAGGCACACATATACAGAGAGGCACAGAGAGAGAGCAAGAACACAGGGTACTTTTTGAAGAGCAATGATGATTGTCTCAGAACCCTAAAAGCTGACACAGAGGAGGCACTTCACATGTAGTTCAGGATTACAGAGGAAGGAACACATGAGATCATTAAATAACTAAATTTACAAATTCCCATTATTTTACTACATAAGTCATCATGTTTTGTTCACAGAAATAAACATTGGCATCTATTAACACTACATGAATAAACTCTTCTTTACTTGCCAGCAGCATCCGGGCTATGTTAATAGTTTCTAATGATCAATAAAGCTTAAATCCTTCCATCCATCCAATTCACAAAGTTTTTTGCTTCCTTTCTCCTGTCTTCTTTATTCCATGAGACTTTGTGGATATGTTTCTTCCTTCTTCATTTATATACAGAGAAACAAAACCAGATAAACTGATAGACAAAGATGTGTAAGTAGTGCTTAGCATTCACCTGCAGACACAATGTGGAGAAAGAAAATTATCCCCACACTTCCAGACTTTTTCTGCTTTTTGATATTTACGCTCCCAGAAGGACAACAGCATGATGTGCACTAGGCAGGAAGGGTGATGATCTGTGCCAAATTTTATGCTTATGCTTCGTGCCATGGTCTGGCTGTTTTTACTCCCTGCCAGCAGATCAATAAAGTTGTGACTTCAGGACCATGCAAGAGTCAAGAGCTGTTCTGGTGTCTGTAGCAGCACAGGACTAACAGATTACTTGAAGTGGGTTAAGGTTGGTGTCAGGCAAGTATTCAGTTCATACTTGCTCTGCAGCAGTCTGGAAGTGCCTCGTGGGAAACAGGTATGGGATAATTAAGGGCTCTTAAGCCAGCAGATAAGGATATTACAAGAATAAACAATTCAAACTTAAGGTAAATAGATGTGGTGTTGTAGAAAGCACAATTTTTTACATGTGGGAGATGAAACCTCTTGGAACAATTCACCAAATATTATGGCAGATTTTCACCACAGGCAATTGGTCAAATATGCCTGGGAATGTTTGGGGTTTCAGTTTTTTGTTTTTCTCTTCCTTCTTCCTATGAGTATGATCTAGTTTAAACAGGAATTAATTTCAATTTAGCTGATGGCCTGGGTTATGCAAGACCCAAAAGCCACAATGGTTCTATTAAGCCTCATAATCTATGAGACTGTACTCAATCTTCATAACTGCACAGAAAGGGGGATGAGGGAACACAGCAAAGTGTTTGGGAAAAAGGAAACCTTTACAATGCTTACAAATCAGGCGTAACAGAGTTACCCCAAACCCTCATGGGCTGCTGTATCAACCTGCCTCCTGGCCTTCCATTCCTGGAGGCTCCCAGATGTTCCCAGCCTGAAAACATTCCCGCATTCAGCATGCAAAATAAAAAGGCAGTAAAACAGGTGGAGGAACAAAGCTGTTCCTTTACACCCTGTTTTTAATTGAAGGGATTATAAAACACTTCAGGCATGCTGAGAAATCATGACTTTGTTCCTAAATAAAAAGCTGTAGCTATTATTTTTTTTTAAACCCTTGTTCCTCCTCCTACAACACTGGTTATTATATGCATGCATTTGCAGTGTAATGGAATCAGTATCATCTCTGTGTCTTATTACTGTTGCAATCCCCTAACATGCTGTTCCTTCCATCCCACATGAATCTGGTAATTACTGCTGAGGCATGCCATGCGTACACTTTCCCTTCCAAGGCAGCACCAGCAGTTACCACAAACACATTTCCTACGTACTAGTAAACACAAGCAAGTGGGACAGTGTACATTGCCTCATAAGCCAATTTCGGGGCATGATCCTTGCTCGCCAGAAAGCTGCACGTGACTGAAAACTCATGGACATGAAACAAATGCACACTGTGAGATGAGGGGGAAATGCACTTGGACTTCTGCCTTCATTTTTGCTGTGTGTTGGAGTGAGCCCTGTGAGTTCAGGCAACACTGTGCAGGCAGGTTACAGGAACGTGTGTGCCTCTCTGCATGTGTCAGTGTGGGCAGGTGTGTGTGAATATGCTACTTTCAGAAAGAGATAAAACAAAACAAAAATCAGCCTAGGTCTACTTTTACCTCCTCTTTTTAGGCTCATGCCCCCAGACTGTGTTAGAAAAAGCTGAAAACAGGATTTTACATGCTGTAACTAGTCCAATTTTGCTCCCCAAACACCATATCCTACTGTTTAAAGCTGAAAACAAGCAAAAAATCTCACAGAATAATAATCTGGTTGATGGTGTATTAGTGTTGTAAAACCGCAGATCTGCCACAAACATCTTTCCTGATCATAGCAATTTGCTCTCCTGAATTCAGCTGGATAAAGAGAGTTAGAATAGAGCAGCTCTGAGTGCCTTTCAGAATCCCTGTCTTATTGAAATTCACACAGCACCACAGCAAAAGCATGCTCCAATGTGGGATGCTCCTGCTCTTTCCACAAGCTCTCCAAATTTTAGATAGGAAAACTGCAACTGCTCCAATCCCAAATGCAAACTCCAACACTGTTCCTGCCCAGGAGCACTGCAAAGGCATCTGTGCTGGCTGCTGCAGGATGTTGCCTTTTCCAGTTTCAAGAAGAGATAAAGAACAGACAGCACATTTCTGCTGCTCCTAAAATGTAGGCTCTGATACGTAATGGCTAAAGAACACCACGAGATGACAGTGCCACTTTTTCCAAGTCCAGCACTCTTTTGGCAGCAAACCTTTACATTCTCAAGACTAAGTAAAGTGCATATAGTTCCCAATAAGAATCTGTCAATAATGCACCCTGCCATACTAGCACTTTAAAATTCATTGTGGAGTGTCTTTTGCTTTTTTTTCCCCAATGTGAACCCAAAGTTTTACCTTTCAGATAAAGATCAAGAGCAGACAGTCTTTCCCATCAAACAGATCTGTGCCCAGGGCATGGGGCTTAAGCGAAGTCACAACAACCCACATCCACCATCCTGTTCTTTTTAAAGGCAGCCAAACGCTACACCACAACATTGCAATGGGGCAGTGAGACTAGTCCAGCCAGTGGGAATGATGGCGTTAGATGTGGGCTTGGCTGCTCAGCACTCGGGGGAGCATTCCAGAGGGTGCAGGGATTCAGGCACGAGAACGCCGTTGCCTGCCAGCCCGGCTTGGTGGAAGGTGTTGAACTTTCCCTGAACGTGTAGAAAACACCAACGCGCTGGGCAGAGCTCGGCACGGCAGTTTGGGAAAGGGGCTGCTGCAGCCGGAGCGGGGGGATCGATGCTGATGCCAGATCCGGGATTTGCAGAACCGCTGCTGCAAGAGGCAGACGGTGCGTGTGCGGGGTGTGCGTGATGTGCGGGGTGTGCGTGTGTGCGGGGTGTGCGTGTGTGGGATATGCGTGTGTGCGGTGAGCGTGTGTGCGGTGCGGGCGCGCTCTCCGGCTGGCTTGTGCCGAAGAAGCTGCTTGACTTGCTCTCTGTTTTTGAGGGCACGGATTTAGGGACCCGGGGCCAAAAATTCTCCGGACCCAGGTAAATCCTGGCTCGTTACCTTATTCCCCTTCCCGGCTCCGAGTGCCCGCGCTGTCCTGCAGGTGCTGTCAGAGCGCTCCCGCGATGCGCAGCCGAGCCGGGAGCGGAGCCGGCTGCGAGAGCCGCGGAGGGAGGCGGGGTGGGGGGGGACGGGGACAGAGGATGGGGGGTGATGGAGGGAGGGGTGGGCTGGGAAAAACGTGTCCCCCCCGCCCCCGGCTGACGTCAGCGCGGCTCCGCGCGGGGCACCCGCAAAAGCGCCGCGCCCGCCGCGCCCCGCGCAGAACCCGCGCTGAGCCCGCGCTCCCGCAGCGGCGCCGCCGCCGCCTCGGCCCCCGCCCGGCCCAACTTCCCGCCGGGACGGGACGGGACGGGAACGGCGGCGCCCCGCTGGGCTCCTCCTGAGGCGCTGTGCGGGCGATGCCTCTCGCCGCCCGGCTCCTGGCTCCCGGGGCGCGGCGGCTCTCGGCGGCGGCCCCTGCCCCCGCTGCCCGCTCGGGCGCCCCGAGAGCAGGTACGAGCGCGGGGGGCGCGGGCCGGGGGCTCCCCGCGGCGGGGAGCGGCTTAGGGAGGGTTTGCCGGCGTTTGTTCTCCCAGCCCCAGTTTAAGATGCTGGCGGTGAGCGGGAGCCGGGCAGCCGGGATCGGGACGGGATCGCGGTGCCAGCGGGAGGCAGCGGGCGGAGGGGTCGGGCGGGGAGCGCGGCACCGGGACCTCGGTTTTTGGGGAGCTCCCCGACGGGGCTTCCCCCACAGCAGCTCCGCAGGCGCTTTCGGAGAGCAGAAGGAAGGGAGGAGGAGGGGGCATTCCAGAGGAGTTTACAAGTCTCTACCTTGCAGCTCTCCTTTCCTCCCCCCCCCACCTTCCGACCTGCTTTGCCCTCCCCGAGAAGCCTCTGCTCCCCCCTCTCCCGGCCGTTTTCACTGGGGATTTCTTCTTTCTCTCCTTACCTGTCTCAAAAGGTTTGACTGTAGGTACCAAAGCGGGGATCGACGGCGCATAAAGATGCTGAAGGGTGTTTGGTTGCTCAGTTTGTTAACAGTGGCTGGGATCTCGCGGACAGAGAGTCGCAAACCTGCCAAAGACATTTGCAGCAAGAGCCGCTGCCCTTGTGAGGAGAAGGAGAACGTGCTGAACATTAATTGTGAAAACAAAGGATTTACAACCGTCAGCCTCCTCCTGCCGCCACCATCCAAGATCTACCAGCTGTTTCTCAATGGGAACGCACTGACCCGCCTGTTCCCCAATGAGTTCGTCAACTACTCCAATGCCGTGACCCTCCACTTGGGCAACAACGACATGCAGGAGATCCGCACAGGGGCCTTCAGCGGCCTTCGCACCCTCAAGAGGCTGCACCTCAATAACAACAAGCTGGAAGTGCTGAAGGAAGACACGTTCCTGGGCTTGGAGAGCCTGGAGTACCTGCAGGCTGATTACAATTACATCAGTGCCATTGAAGCAGGGGCATTCAGCAAGCTAAACAAGCTCAAGGTGCTGATTCTCAACGACAACCTCCTGCTGTCCCTGCCCAGCAATGTCTTCCGCTTCGTGCTCCTCACTCACCTGGACCTGAGGGGGAACCGGCTGAAGATGATGCCTTTTGCTGGTGTACTGGAGCACATTGGAGGCATCATGGAAATCCAGCTGGAGGAAAACCCTTGGAACTGCACCTGCGACTTGCTGCCACTCAAGGCCTGGCTGGACACCATCACCGTGTTTGTGGGCGAGATAGTCTGCGAAACCCCCTTCAGGCTTCATGGAAAAGATGTGACCCAGCTCACCAGGCAAGATCTCTGCCCTAGGAAAAGCTCCAGCGATTCAAACCAGAGGGAAAAACATCCTGTCCTCTCAGACCCGCACATCTCCAGGCTATCGCCCACAGCCAACTCTGCCATGAATCCCACCAGAGCCCCGAAAGCCAGCCGGCCACCCAAAACCAGGAACCGCCCCACCCCCCGTGTCTCTGTGTCAAAAGACAGGCAAATATTCGGACCTATCATGGTTTACCAGACAAAGTCTCCAGTGCCCATCACCTGCCCAGCTGGCTGCATCTGTACGTCACAGAGCTCAGACAATGGCTTAAATGTTAACTGCCAAGAGAAAAAGATCAGTAACATCTCCGATCTCCACCCCAGGCCAACCAGTCCAAAGAAACTTTACCTTACCAGTAACTATCTGCAAGTCATTTATAGAACCGATCTCACAGAGTACAGCTCTCTGGATTTGCTACATCTAGGAAATAACAGAATTGCAGTGATACAAGAAGGTGCCTTTACAAACCTCACAAGTTTACGTAGACTTTATCTTAATGGCAACTACCTTGAGATCCTGTACCGCTCTATGTTTGAAGGGCTGCACAGCCTGCAATATCTCTACCTAGAGTACAATGTCATTAAGGAGATCCTGCCACGCACATTTGATGCTCTGAGTAATCTTCATCTCTTGTTTCTCAACAACAACCTGCTCAGATCCTTGCCTGACAATGTCTTTGGCGGCACTTCCCTCACCAGACTCAACCTTAGAAACAATCATTTCTCACACCTGCCTGTGAGAGGAGTCTTGGACCAGCTTTCAGCTCTAATTCAGATAGACCTCCAGGAGAACCCTTGGGACTGCACATGTGACATCCTGGGGCTGAGGAACTGGATAGAGAAAGTCACTGACCAGAACAACCAGCAGTCAAATCCCCCCGTAGTTATCAATGAAGTCATATGCGAGTCTCCCACCAAGCACTCTGGAGAGCATCTGAAATTCCTGAGCAAAGAAGCCATCTGCCCAGAGAACCCCAACCTGTCAGATTCTTCTCTCCTCTCCATGAACCAGAACACAGATACACCCCATCTCCTCGGTGTCTCACCCAGCTCCTACCCAGAATTACACACCGAAGTTCCACTGTCTGTCTTAATTTTAGGATTGCTGGTTGTGTTTATTTTGTCAGTTTGTTTTGGGGCAGGCCTGTTTGTCTTCGTCCTTAAGCGCCGGAAGGGGGTGCAAAGCATGCCCAGCAGTGCCAACAACGTAGATATAAGTTCATTTCAGCTCCAGTATGGGTCTTACAACACTGAGACCCACGATAAAACTGAAGGACATGTTTATAACTACATTCCCCCTCCTGTTGGACAGATGTGCCAAAACCCAATTTACATGCAAAAGGAAGGGGATCCAGTTGCCTATTACAGGAATCTCCATGAGTTTAGCTATAGCAGTCTTGACCACAAAAAGGAAGACCCCACCAGTCTTGCATTTACCATCAGTGCAGCTGAATTACTGGAAAAGCAGTCCTCGCCGAGGGAACCAGAGCTTCTGTATCAAAATATTGCAGAAAGGGTCAAGGAACTGCCCGCCGGAGGATTAGTTCATTATAACTTTTGTACCTTACCCAAAAGGCAGTTTGCCCCTTCATATGAGTCAAGACGCCAAAACCAGGACAGGATAAATAAAACTGTTTTATATGGAACTCCCAGGAAATATTTTGCAGAACAGTCTAAACCCGAGCATCCTTTACTCCAAGGAAAGCTACAAACAGAACCAGACTACCTCGAAGTTCTGGAAAAACAAACTGCAATCAGTCAGCTGTGAGGGGGGAGGTGGGAGACAAAGGAAAATTTTTTAAATGAGCTCAGCATCACTTTTCATTGAGTCTGAACTCAGTGCTGATATCATCTGTCACATTCCCAACGTTTCCACTTTTTTAAATCAGAGAGGGAGAGAGAGAGAAAAGGAACCTGTGCAGCATAGCAGGAATATGGTGTTGCTTTTGCAACATTCTCTTTAAGTTATTTCTCTCTCCTTTTGACCCTTCTGTAGGAACTGTCACTGCAAATGTACCTTTCTGTAATAGATCTTGCATAATTCTTTTTGATTTTGAAGGAAATGAGGAAGGGGGTCTTTGGGTTTTCTGTTTTGTTTTGTTGGTTTTTTTTTTTCTTTTCATTTCAAAGTGGAAACTTAATGTATTATGTAGAAGATCTCCAAAGATCTTTTTTCCTGGACTATGACTTTCTTTTGTAAATAATAATATACAGTACTGCTATTTCAATTACCAACTATAGCCACTGGGCGTCACTTTTTTGTGTTAAAGTGCCTTTGCACTTTAAGTACATTATTACTTAATTGTTGCTCTTAGCTTTGATAAATTGAACCTATTTTAATGTGTTGTATTTTTGAAATTAAAAAAAAATTGTAAAATAGATCTATATGTCAGCTGCATTAAATCAGAAGGTTTGATTTATAGGAAAGCTGCCCTTCTTTAAATGACTCTAGTTCTAGGACCTTACAGACTCAAATGTAAATTATTGGGGTATTTTTTTTCCTTCTAGGTTTGTTTAGAGTGATCCACTGAAACCAACTGAGAGGATTTAGCAATGGACTAGAGGTTATCAAATGCCTCAGCTGGGAATAACAGCTCATTAATAAAAGATGTTTAACACAATGTCATAGTGAACTGAACAATTAATGTCCTTCTTAATACATTGCATTGCAGTTCTAACACAGTAATGTTCAGTGGCTTAAGATTATTTTCATACTTAACATTGCTCGTAATATTTTATGCATTAAATTAGGTATTTTTATACATTTTGTGACAAGAGTTTATATTTGTAACTTTTTGGACTGAAATTAACATGTCCTTTTCCTGCCAGATACATATTTTTTTCATAAGCAGGGACACCAGCAGGGGTCATCCCACACCTCATTAAATTTATTAACATACAGGCAAATGAACCCATGCCAAAGGTAAAATTTGAACCTGGGTCTCTGGATTCCTCCAAATCAAGGAAGCCAAAATCAGTACGTGCACCACACTAACTTTCAGTAGTCTGAATTATGTCTAGTTTTCAGTCTCTAAAGGAAAAAGTAATGCTGCAATAATTCTAATCTGCTAGAGAAAACTACCATTAAGTTCATTATTTTAAATTTTGTAAAATGTTTTAAGTTAACTGAGTTCCATTCTCAGCGTTGGTTTTCCTAAGCCCTTCAGTGAACAAATGCCATAAGTCTTCTCCTTTCCCATTAACTCGGGCCTGTTTTGCTTCAAGCTTTATGTTATCACCTCCAATTTACATTTCCTTCCTGCAGAATATTGAAACCATTTTTATTAACAAGTATACAGTCAAACTTTATTAAGCCTTATTAGCTTCTAAATAATTTTTTAGATGCAAACATTATTGTGCGATTTAAACAAACAGCCCTTATTTACAACAAAAACAGTTTTGTTTTGTCTATTCTAAATCCTTATGCAACTGGGATGGTGATCTGCATATAAAGTAGGCCAGGCTTTTCAATTCCTTATTAAAGCAATTGATGGAGTCTGAAAGAAGCACACTGTTTCCTTTTCATAAATAGGTTACTGCACATAATAATCCTTTATTATCATGCGGAGATTGAAGTGGCCTCTGCTGACTGATTTTTAGGGCTTTACTATAGTTAATAGTACAGTATCTACAACTTGGAGAAATTTTCAGCAATAGCATTTAAGCTATAAATAACTACAATCAATGTTGTTCTAATCAGGACTTTGCCAAAAGGAAGTTGCTTTATATTTAAGAGCTAAAGGGGCTTTGCATGTGATATCACCAGATATCTGAGTCATTCAGTAAACTGTCTTCTAATGATTTATGTGACATTTGGGTACATTAATATGCTAACGTGTCAATTCTTTATGTTTAGAGTCCATAGCATCTATGGCTGTTCATTAGATCAGGTTTAAAAGTGAAGTGCTACAATGAACTCCTGAAGAATCAGTCTTCAAAATGGTCTCACCTCAAGAAGGAGGCGAAATGGTTATCACTGTAGTTGAACTTGGAACATTTGACTGGAATAGCATCCGTCTTTGAGCAAGGTACTTGCTTGAAAGCTTCCAGTAGTGACTGTCTTATTATGGCTCCTTTCCCTGGGTAATTAAAAACGTTTATTACTGAAACACTAAGAAAAGTATAAGTATTATTTTAAAATAATTAACTTCTTTCCAGGTATGATTTTAGTATTGCCTGCAAAACAAGTACCATGTTACATCTGGCAGCATCTAGGGTACTATTACTTATTATTCACAAGCAAACCAGAAGCAATTACAGGGGTTTTTTCCTCAGAAAAATGCTAATTTTTCCATCAGAAATGTTTTTAATTTCCTTGTGTTTGCAAACAACAGAGATGGGAAATTGGTTCTTTTAGTAACTTTATATTGTTTGTTTTTACTGCTTCAGTATCAGACAACTTTCATGTTTGCCTTGGTAGCACAGCCATACTTTATAGAGGTTGCTGTTGCTTTACATTTCCTTGTGGAATTTATTTAAGGACTAGATTTTATTTTGCATCACCAGTACCAGCTTAAAAATCATTATTGCTGTAGGTCTTTTAGGTTTGTTTTTATACCCTTCGGCTGACATCTATTAAGCAATTCTTTTCATAGCTTGTCCAGGTGAGAGAGAAGATTTTTTTCAGTTACGCTTAAAGAGATTTGTTTAACAGGGAAAGTGTGTCAGCAGCTGCTGGATAGAAGGTCTCCACGTTCCTTCAGCTGTGCAGCCCTGGAATCTACTGCTTGTTAGGGGGAGAGCAGTGGCTTTATAATGAGTCTGAAAAAAATTTCCTTCATAGTTTGAAAAGTTGGACTGTGAAATTATGTAACCAGGTTAGCAAAGTATTTTTTTTCCCCCTCAGGAAAGTGGGATGCAAATAGTTTTCTTTCTTCCTAAGTTTTCTTTTGTGAAAGTGGACATAATGACCTTTACAGAAGCAGTAACTGTGCAGACTGAAGCACTGTGGAAGCTATGCTGTTATCTCCAGTGAAAATAAGGGGCAGTGCACTTCCAAAGCATGAATACATTCTTTTAAGACACCTTTCTAGGTTAAGCATTAGGTTTACCAACATACTTCCTCTTTTCTCCCCACAAAACAAATGCCACTTTTTGCAGAAGGGTCTGTACTTTGAGTGCTCAAATCTGCTGCAGAGCCACTCCAAACGCCCACTGATAGTCCTTGTTTCTGCAGTCTCTGTTTCCCATCCAACTCCATCCTACTGGGCTCCAGCATTAGCTCAGTTCCTACCTCACCTCTAGTAATTGCTTCCAAAGCCCCCACCATGTAATGCCCCAGCCTTTTCCACTTGTACCCATCCCCTAAGCACTCCTTTCCTTCCCTAGAAAGTTCTGGAGGGCCTATTTCAGCCTTGAGCTAAAGTCCCTGCCCCACTGAGAGGCCAGCCCTTACCTCCTCTTTTGACATTGCTGAGTGGCCCAACGTGAAACGAGACACCTGATCCCAGTGGTATTCCTGGGGGCTGTGCTGGAGGAAGGTCTTCCTAACTGTCCCCTCTTCTACTCCTTGGGCAGAGAAGAGAAGCCTAAGATCCCATAGCATTTCAGTTTCCATGCAGGATTGCCTGTGTGCCAACCCTGGCCGTTTCTGCAGCGTTCCTGAGTGAGAACAAATGGATGAGCTCTCTGAAACTACTGACATCACATCCCACTTCGCTGTAATTTTGGCGAGTTGTCTTCAGCATGAGCTAATCTTGCCAAAATTAGCTACTAAAATTTCAAACTCAAACTGGTTGTGTAGCATCTCTAGAGTAAATAGCAAAAAACCAGGCTGTTCAAAGGTGATTTATTCCCTCTCAAAAATATATGGCATGGATTGGCTACAGATATACCTGGTTTTTTCCAGGAATAGTAGGAAAGGATAGATGATGAGCACTGATAATACTGATTCCTACATAGCTTGGTCAGCCTAGCACACCCACATGCAACATATAGATGTGCTCTGCTGAGTATCTGCCAGTCTCTACCCCAAGACATTTCCATTCTGTCCATGAAAAATACTCCCTGTGGAGTTTATAGCCTGCTTTGGTCAAATGCACCGGGTTTTTATAACACCTTCTTGTGCTGATAGAGAACTACACGGTAGGCTTCAGTTTTGGGGTTTTTTCCATCAATACTTGAGTTTGTAAAATAAAAACTACACTTTTTAAAGTTAGAAGCTGCGATTAATAATGTCAGACTAAGGATCCCAATGAGTTAAATTGCCTAAATGAGAGTCTCATAGAATACTGAGCTTGTATAGGAATACAAATGCAATAATTTTAAACTGCTCATGAGTGAAATGAGATACTGGAAATGTTAATGAAACTTCTTAGGTTCTTATAGGCTAATCACTGATACAGTTTGTGATTTTTCATATTACTGGTTTTGCAGACAATAAATGTCATTTAACAGAGAGAGAGGAAAAAAAAACACCCTCTTTTCCCAAGACCTCCCCCAACTCCAAAATAACAGATAAATTAACTTATGCAGATGATGTGACACTTGTGGTATATTTCCCTTCACTTTTTCAAAGCGTTCCATAGGAGAAGTACAAAAGTTATTCTTTTCTAAGAGGATCATTAAGTCTGTTTGGATTATTGATCTCATAGCTTTTCTGGGCACAAGGCCAAGCATTTTGACTAAGGTTTTTAATCCTAGCTAATGAGGGAGGTGGATTAATGAGAAGTTTTTTGTGGGTTTTTGTGTTCTTAGAGGGTTGGTTGGGTTTTTTTGAACCCGTAGATTGACATGTTTATTAATACAGATGAATAGATTGTTTTGAATGAAAGAAATGTTGGAGTGGCAGTCGGAGATGCAGTCATTCTAAACACCAAATAGGCTCAAGAGTAGGAGTGAAGTTTGAAAAACAAGGCATCATAAAAGTGGGTTTTTTTCCCTGAAATCCTGAAAACAGAGGACAGCCCTTTGAGTGCAGCAGATTTTGTTACATGCTGTTAACCATTTGGAGGGGTGAAATTAGAGGCCAGATGCACTTCCATTGTCTTTAAGGATACACTGAAGTGCTCAGAATTTGGTCCCCATCTCTGATTGTTACCCCCTGTGCACACATCTGCATTACCACTGGTTGTGCACTACACTTGGAAAAAGTAAGCAAGGTGAACTTTTTGGAAGAGTAGAACTAGCTGCAGTATTTCTGAATGGTTTTTGTTTCTATTTTAAAAAGTGCAATGAATTAACCATTTGTGCACTTAATGCCATAGATTTTTAACTTCTAAGGTCTGTTATACAAACTAAATTTTCAGCAAACTGTTCAGATCAATATTTGTAGCTACTTACAAAACAAGAGCACTGCAAAACATAGAGGCTGACCTTAAGAGGGAAGGTGGCACTACCATTTAGCAATCAAGGTAACGTAAATCCATATTTGCAGGACAACAGAAATTACAGCAGCACAACAAAGTATCTGCAATATGACAATGTTGATTCTTTGTGGGGACAGACCAGGTATAGGATTTGCATCTTGGCAACACAGATTCCTTGTATCTTCTCTTCTTGCCCTCTGTGTGCATTGCTCTCCAGAAATATTAGACACCAGTTACCTTCTGAGTAGGAGGCAGTACAGCCCTTTTAAGAATGCTGTCTGCATTGGAAAAAAGCACAACTAATGTATACAGGCCTGTTGCAGTTATCTCCTCTTGAGATAAAACTTATTTCCATACAAAAGCCTGGAAAAAAAAATCCCTTGAGATCACTGATAATATGGCAGAGTTTATTTTTAAGCATCTTGATTTTAGTTCTAAGAGCCTCTCAACTGAGAGGCAAAGGAAGTGGAGTTAAGGCAGTTATTTCTCATGCTGTAAACTTTTTTACTTCTCCCCAAGGATTTGTAACAGATTTGGTACATTGGCATGAGTGACAATAATCTTATCAAATAAGGGCAATCCTATTGAACTCACTCAGTTGTGAGTGGCAGAGGGGAGAGAAAAATGGTTATGTCCTCTTACTGTCACCTAAAATGTCACTGGGGAGTTTTCCAGACTGAAGGCTCATTCCCATAAATCTGAAGTCAACATACTCCAAGTTCATACTCAAGTCACTAAGTATGAGATTTTCAGAAATATTTGAGTGATGGGACATTTTGTCTGTCACATCTCTTGCTCCTGAGAGGGTGAGGTTTTGCTTGGAATCATTGGTTTATTCTATCTCTTCTGAATTTTAATTCTTGATTATTCCTGACTATAGTCTTGCTATGGAGGGCAGATGGAATACGCTCAGCTAAATCTTTGTTTTTCCTTTATCTTATTTCACAAGTTGCCAAGTTCCTCAAGTGCCAGGCAGCTGAGACTTGAACAAGTCAGAAGTTTCAGAAACTCAGTGATCCACTCAAGTGAGCAAAGCTTTACCAAAGCTTTACTGCTCCCATCACATCTGCTGTGTTCTGCTGAGCTGTTGATTTTATTCAGATGTATTCCAACTCGAAACAAATGCACACTAATAAGTATCTATGTAAAACCTTATAATATTCAGCTTACATGCTTACTTACAATAGAAAAAAGAGAGGGAGTTAGAGGTTGGTAAAAGCCTTTCAAATTTTCTGGGCTTTTTTTTCCTGAATGTTTCAGAGGGATTTATTATGATTCCTAGTGAATCAAATGGAATTCCAATAGTGTTGTGTAGGTTTTTTGTGGTTTTGTGCAAGATAGTGGGGAGCAGGGGAGGGGGAAGGGAGAAAAAGGCAAATTATAATTGTCTTAACTGTCAAGATATTACAAGGAGACTACCAGAAAGCTAAGGACTTCAGTTTATGACTTAAAGAGCTTACACAAGTGCCTATTTTTTTGTGGAACATCTAAAGGAAACGGTACACAGGCTGCTTTCCCAAAGGCTAAGGGAACTAGACAGGCAATTCCCTGGGAGAGCTGAGAAATCCCAGACTTAAAGTTAGAGTAGGTTTACTATAATTCTGACATAAAGCATGGCTTATGTGAAAAGACAATGATAATGGGGAAAATGCTTAATGCTACAGTTAATTAGTGGTATAGTTTTTAGCCTGTGTTTTCTGATACCATATTTACCATTGCATCCAACTCATAAGCTACTTACTACAGCTGAGTGGATAATTCTTATTTATTGATGTGCCCTTCTTTTCCGTAATGCAATGTTGACAAATTTGTTTGATGGTGGCCTAAGTTTTCCATGGCTTCTTTTTGTTCTCCAAATAATGCATGGGAAGAATTCCTAGCAGAGGAGTCCTAATGGATAATTCATAGTGAATGCCTAAAATTGAACTACCAAGGACTGGGTTTATATTTTTGTATTTATTTATTTATTTGCTTCGAGAGGGAGGCAGTGGGCCTAGTTAACAGCTGATTTGCTGGGAACTGAAAAAATTAGTGTTCTCTGTTTGGTTCTGCCAGTGCCCTTGCACAAGGCATACCTGTGTCCCCATGCTTTAATTTCTGCATCATTAAATAAGGAGGATGGTACTTCCTGCCTTAGTCTAGTGAGATTTACTGATGAGAATTGTTGGGTATAATTGTTTTTCAAAGAGAGTGCTTGGTGGCTTTATAGTTTCTTCCAAATGCAGCAATAGTGCACTGCTTCTTACCCTGGTATATATTTTTTAATCTAAGAAGGTGGCGTGTACACGTCAGATTAAGTTTAGTTTTCTGGTTTTGCAGCTAAAAACAGACCATAAAGATTACCTTGTAAAAGGAAAAGATACTGTCTTCTTGTAAAAGGAGATGAGATGCATGGAATGAAATGGGGAGGGTGGGAAAAGCTACAGTCTGTTTTTAAACTGTTGGAAATGCACAGTATCCCATCTCCTCAGTTTTTCCTCTCTGGCTGAGTTGAATCATCTTGTCTGTTTCTGCCCTATAGAATCCTTTCAGAAATAGTTCTTAGCATACCAGTTATTTTTTTATTCACCCTTTTTTTATTGTGTCAGTTTGGCTATTGCAGACAGCTTTTATGCTCACAAGTGAGCCAAGAGAGGCTCTGAGTGGCAGACAGCTGCTGAAATAGGAACCTGGCACTCCGAGGAGAGAAAGAGATTCATTCAACTTCTCCTTTCAGCCTCTTCCTTATACTCTGTAACCTTTTTTCTACTCCATAGTAACTGCAATAATCCTCTTGTCCATGGAATGCAGATTGTGGGCATATTTTTCCATCTATAGCCCAACCACCTACTGTAAAATCCAACTATATGTTGGAAAGCCCACAATTTTTCACATACAGTCTTGTAGAATGTATATGGATGTCATGCCCAGCAATCTGATGCTTCCATGCAAGAGAGAGCTGATTTCTAAACCTAGACCTACTAGAATCTGTGTCACAATATCCATTCAACACAACAGAGATATAATTTCACCTTCTCTTTTAAATTTGCTTTTGATTAAACAACTAAAATTCATTTACTGTTGTTCTGGTTTATGTTTAGATATTGTGCCCATCTAAGTTTTGAGACTGCTAAGACTCAGGCTTTCATTTTCTTGCTGATTCATAAAATGGGACATGTGAAGAATTATTCCTGATTTCTAGACTGTAAGTGACATGGGGTTTTTTTGGCTGGATGTGGTAAGTGCTCTGATCCCATGCACAATTTCATATTTCTGGATAATTGGCAGTTATTTAGATTCCATTTACCTACAACGTAAGATACATGGTACACCACAAAATATTTCTGGCAGTGCAGTGTTAAGCCATCTGTCCTGGACCAGCACAAGTACATCAAAAGCAGTAGTTCAAACAGTCCCTGAAAAGTCTTGTTCTCTTTAAGTTCTGGGAGAAATGTAGATGAAGGGATGTAGACATTCAGTGATCCTTTTGACATGTTCATCTTTGAGATTTTAAGTGGAATTTTTTTTTTCTCCTAGGAATAATAGAGTTTATTATTTAAGTAAGGCTATCTAGATCCTGAGCTGCTGTAAACAGCGTTTAGCTCCATAAACATCACTGTAATGGTTTGTAATAGCTGAGGATTCAGCTGCTTTGTTCTGTAAACCCCTTAGCCGAAGCAATCAACATTAATACTAATAATGGATCGGTGCTATAAGCAATGCAGTAAGTTGTTCACTTTCATTTCATTGCTTTAGAACTAATACAATTTGCCACTGCTTTGGAATTTTGAGCCACATTTGAAAAGAAAAAGGTCTTTGAAAGTTCCCTACCTAGTTCATTTTGGGATGTAAATGACTAATTTCTGTAATAAAACTCTCTTGGTTGATACATTTATACACTTGGTGCTTCACAAAGCCTTTTAATTCTCAGAGTTAGAAATACAGTGCATTCTTCCATATATTCTCCATTTGGGGCTTCTTACTTATTTGTAAAGATTAAAGCTTCTCAATAGCTCTTGCTTACCCATTTTGCCACCCTCAGAGTTTGGATGTGAGTCTGTAATCAGTGGTAGTCGCTCTGTAACAGTAAATGTACTTTCAAAGAAAACTTTAACTGTAGAGTCTTGGGACATGCAAAAAGTCACATTTAGAAAGTCACGTTCTCCCAAGAAAGGCCACAGCTGTTTCTTCCTTGTGAGCAATACACTGACTCCATCTGAAATACATAACCTTATTATCATGCAAATATTTATGCCACATTAGAATCAAAATTGCTTTTTCCACAATAGATAAGCTTCCTGGATTATTGCAGATAACGGAAATCCAATTTCTGAAAATGTTCTCTTATTGTTTCTTTTTTCCTCTGCTTTTTATTAGCGAAGAACTTGTAATTATTTGCTCTTATTCAGATGTTCCAGGGGAAGAATTGAAGTCATATTTCCCACACATTGGGATTCTGATAATTGAAATTCACTGCTTTCTCTTCTTTCTATTGCCTTTAAATAAAGGAATGTACTAGAGAAAAAGACTCAGCTCAGTCTGGAATGATACAAGTGCAAGTCAGGAATAACTGAAAACAGTTTTGATCACCCTTTGAAATCCTCGATTAAGCAGTTTTGCTAACTCTCAAAGCAATTCGCTGGAACCTTTTGATTTATTGCACAATAGGTAGAAAGCTGCTTTTCTTCTTCTTCAGGCTCTTACCCTGCCAATGGATATTTGTTCTGTAAGTAGCACTGACATGAAAAGTCTGAAGTTGTCCACTTTTCTCCCTTTGACCAAAGTTCCCTTGGTAAACAGAGTACCATGAGGAGTAGCGGTGTTAATCCTCTAAGTTTAGCTTTGTGAAAAAGCCACACTGAAGGCTGTGAAAGCTTTGAGGAAAATTAACAAAACTTTGCAAGCCTTGCCAGCATCTTTCCAGAACACTTGCTATTATATGAGATTCCATTTAATAATACACTCAACAGTTTCTTCTGTATTAATAAAATACGAGCATGGGAATAACAATGGCATGTCCCCTTCACTGAGATAAATCCTTTTAGCAACATGGATGGCAATGTTGATTGAAATGCCAGTTCTCTAATCTGTTAGATTTTGCTTATTAATTGAATTAATTGGATTGATAAATTGAATTTTGCTGCCTCTGGGCTCAAGTGGTCAGGGCGAGTAACAGCCTGGTACATTTTGCCTCCTCTATGATGAACAGTGTTCAGAAATCAACCTGTTTTTAAACAGGGGGGTGTGTGTGTATGTGTTTGGGGGGTGTAGTAAAGATGGGGAATGCCACAGAACCAGCCTTGCATTTCTAGACTGAGATAAACAGTAATCTGCCCCAGCTGTATGAACAGGACCATCCTGAACAGAAGACAGGGAGACAAGACTCCCTAGTGACCTCAACAGTGAAAGAACAAATGAGCCCTGTCTTGCTTATTAACTGACCCTGGCTCCAAGTCCTTTCTGTAAGCACAGATGGAAGAAAGACCACTGGACTCTCTGTGCCCTGAGAACAAAGTGGGTCACATAACACCATCATTTTTTAAGCACAGTTGCTCCCTTGAGATCAGTGCTTGACTTGTTCTTAAAGATTGTGCACTGATCTACTCTTTTAAACCAGAGGAATTATTATCTGATTTACCCTTTTAAACAAGAGGGATTATTATCTCTTTACCAAACATGGCAAGACTGTTCTCTCTAGTCCAGTGCAGCAAGAGATTTAAATTCTAGTGCTAATAGAGACAGTCCTTTGAGAGATGAACTATAAGCATTGCTGCCTCCACAGATGATTCTCTAGAATAAATGTTGCTTTTTTTGGCTGTTTGATTTTGTCATTCATGTGGGATTCATGTCATTTAAGAGTAACTATCTAAACATGAGCAATCTTGTCTAGTTTAATCATCAGTGTTCTTTCTATAGTTAGCAGAAGAAATCAGTCCCACCATGAGTTGATTCATCTCACCCACCTCAGCAAATTGCCATTGTCTGCATAGTATTTATGCCTTTGTGAATTAGACAAGTCTTCTCCCCACGTCAAATCAAGAGCTAAAAGTCTTACTGAACAGGAAATGGATGAAACCTCCAAAGCAGTTTTTGTTTTCAAGTCACATCCATACAGATCTTCAAGCTTCTTACAGAAACACATGAATTTTCCATGCTTTAAGGGCAAAGTGAAGCTCTTGTCAAGAGAAAAAAATAATCAAAGGAAAGAAGCAAGAAATGTTCTCTTATATGATTTTTTTTTTTTTAATGAGAAGGGCATACTTTTAGTGGTATGCAGCCCCCTACACATCCTTCCTTTATGCCACACATTCTCAGTGCTCCCTGAGCCTAAAATCTTCCCCAACAACCTCTCTTCTTGAAGATACTCAGCTCAGACAATTCTGTACCAAATTTAACGTATCTATGCCCAGATTCCTCCTTTGAAAACCATCTTTTTTAGCAGGACTTAGCGAATCCTGGAATCCCACAGAGACTCCTACGATACAGATCCTCATCTCCCTCCTTGCCTTCTTGGAGGCAATAGGGCTTTTTCAGACACGTGTCTTTGTAGTTCCTTTTAAAACACAAGTGCCTTAGCCAGAAATGGAGTTTGTAGCAGATGAATTGTCAGTGGCAGCGCACATCATACCAGCAGGAAAGTTACACACTCTCCAGCTGGCCACGTTTGGATATATTTACACTAAGAGAAAGATCCAGCAGTCTGTAGAGTAGCAAAAATACTTGTTCATCTCATTTAGTCAACTGAATCTAAGAAAATACAGGAGAGAGAGAAAATAATTTCGAAGATGCCTGGAAGTTACTACCATGAGGGGACTCAGAGTGGTTTTGTACTGAATAATGAGCAGGCAAGAGATTCCACCAAGTGCTGGGAATCTCCGTGCTGATCACTCTGAGGCAGCACAAGCTATGTACAGTTGCTGTGAATATCTAGCAAAGTATTTAAAATTATTCTGCTTAGCCAACTGTGGTTTTATGATCTGTTTATCATAACAGTTGCTGCTCACAGAGAGTGACCTCACTTTGCTCTTATTCACCAAGACAAATCACTCCATCTTTTTTACATGTCCTTTTGTAAATGAAAGTTCTTAGGAGAAAAAGGTAACATTTTCAAAGGCTTACTACTGGTGTGTAAGTGTTGAGCCATACCATAAATCACTTTTTTAACACCTGGTCATAAAAGAAATACATGTATTTTTGAGCAGATAATACTAATTTGTTTTTCAAGCTCTGAGCAGCTGCAGAAGGTGTCTAAATGGTCACGCAGCTTTTCCAAGGTGCTCACATTAGGAAAAGGTGCCTCTGCAGCCATCCCACTTTGTAGAGCACAACTTCTAGTCATCCCTAATGCAGAAGTCAGGTAAAGATAAATGAGCAATCAGCTGGAGATGTCTAGATCCCCTTCCCACACGGGCTTTCCTCCATCCACCTCTTGTGATCTGTGCTGACAAAATGGGTAATGCAATGCACAAAACAAAGGCTTTCCTGAATGGGGTTTTTCACATCTTAATCACAGAACCAACAACATTAATCTTCATTTGGAAAGCCACGGATATTACTTTCTATAGCAAGTAAATAATCATTCTTTTTTATTACTTGCTCTCTGCAATAATGAAGATGCACATTTTACTCTATTGTTTTGTGCTAAGGAGACAGACAATGCAGCCTGTATTCTTGCTTTAGGTGAGCCCTCTTCTCTCCCAATTCATACCTATCCACACTTCTCTCCTTTATAAAATAAACAAACCAACAATAACTACCTCTCTTCTTCATTTACATTACATAAAAGAACTTTTTCAGATACCAACTGATCAAACAGGGCAATTCATCCATGCAATAATTGCATAATTGTGAGCTAATCCAGAAGAACTTTTAGGAAGATAAGGATTTCCCTGTAGGAAATGTACCCACAAGTAGACTGTAAGTGTGGTAAATGCACATCATTCATTTCCTTCTATAGCAAGAGCAGCAAACTGAGACATCAAGAAACTTAGAACAGTGCTTTGAAAATCATACAGATGAGTCATATTAATTACAGAATTGTTTCTTTCTTTGCTAAAAGGTGGTTTGTGTGTTTTTCACAAATCATTAGATTCCATCAGCTGGTATTTAGAGTTCTGAGAGTTCCAGGTAGAAAGAGCCATTGAAGTGTAAAATATGTATTGTTATTTTTGCTCACTGCTGTTTGATACCCTTCACTTTCCAATCTAAGGCATGCTAAGTTTGAAAGTAAATTCAGGCTGTAAGGACAAGTCTTCTAAAAATATCAGTCCATTATCTACTTTTTTTTTTTCTTTTCTTATTGCAAAAGGATGAAATGCACCCATCAAAGATAGTACAAGCCAGTTACACCCTTTTGTTGCAATCCTGTATCACTGAAGTCCATGTAAATTCAGTAGGAGCAGGAATAAAGACTTTATTTGAGCAGCAGTGGTTTATTATAGGAAGTTTTCATATAACTGAAAATCCTCCCAGCAACAAAGCAATTTGTAAGGCGACACTGAATTTGTTGAAAAGAGAATTTTAAATGCTGCAGCATGCTCCAAGCCACTAGTTTGTGGTCTTGAATAATTTCCTTCTGAAATGGAATCCGTAACCGTCCCACTTTATGCCATGGCAAGTCAAGAATCTGCCTTTTGGTGTTTATGTCACCAACTTAATATGGTCTATCTGTATTCATGGAATATATGCAAAGCCTTTTTTGGCACTGACTGACTTTATTGTAGCAAACTATATATGTGAAGTTTTCTATTTATCATTTTGTTTATTTCCCATTTATTTTTAAAGTCCTTACTCTTCTTACAAGATTTCCATTAGAGTAGAATGTTTAAAAAGTACTGCTGAGCCAATACAACAAAAGTTGTATTAAACAAAACTATAAGGAAAATGGTATCAACA